GGTCTAGGCCTAACTCAACCACCAACCAGGTTGGTAACCTTGAGCAGTTCACTTCTTTGCCTGTGTCTCACTTGTGAACATGCATTTTACATCCTGATGCACCCAATCCTACAGATGACACTGAAAAATGACCATGCCACCATGTCCTTTTTCCCACAAATTGCTCTCTCCCATTTTCCAACCCAAGTTATTTCATGGAAAACAAACAAACAACAACAACAAAAAACAGTATATTGGTCACGACTGTAAGCCAAAAGTAAAATTCTAAAGCCCCCAACTATCTGAATGGTTCCCTCCTCTCAGCCAAGGGCATTTCAAAGTTAACCTGAAACATTAGTTCAGTCCATGCTGGGAATGGAGAGCTGGGCATGCCTCATTATACCCTCATCTCTTTGGAATTACTGATAGAACAGACTAAATCTGACAAGAAACATTTATAATCTATTCTCTCTGAAGCCTGATACCTGGTGAGTTCATCTGCATGATAAAACCGTGGTCTCCCCAACCGTTTATCATAACCCAGACAGTTCCTTCTACTGATAGTAACTCAACCAATTGTCAATCAGAAAATCTGTGAATATGCCTGTGACCTGGAAGTCCCCATCTTCTGGTTGTCTCACCTGTCTAAACCAAACCAGTGTACATCTTACATGTGTTGAGTGATGTTTCATGTCTCTCTAAAATGTATCAAACCAAGCTGTGGCCTGACTATCTAGGCCACATGTTCTCAGGATCTCCTGAGGGCTGTGTCATGGGCCACTGGTCACTCATATTTGGCTCAGAAGAAATCTCTTCAAATATTTTACAGTGTGACTCTTTTCATGGACACAACCAATTAAATTGATTTCCTAACCCATAAATGGGTTGCATTGCACAGTTCTGAGAAACAGTGGATAAGGAAATGTTTTCTGGAGGTGTGTCCTCCCCTGGAAGCCCAGCAGATCCAAGAGCCAGGAGCAGGAGTGCAGCCAGCTGCCTGTGGAAGACAATTTGAAAACAAGTAACTCCGCAGCTCCCTCAGGTCTCTTCTAGTTCCTAAACTGGATGAAGATATGTCTGATCTGAAGCCTGGGCTGGTAAGCAGGCACTGAAAGGCAGTCTAATTGGTCAGACCAGTGGTTTGAACTCAAAACTGAAGTACTGCTCCCATTGCCTGAGCCCCATCCTCTTGATCAAAAGGTTGAGACTGGGAAAAGGAATGCCAAGCTTTCATCTAAGTTCACAAGCTTGGCCCACCTCATTAACAGAGATGTTAGCTGTTTGTGTTCAGACCCTAAGGTCAAAAAATGAGAGGAGGGCCCAGGACACTATGTCCTTTTTTCTAAGCAGGGACAGACGTGGTTGAAAAGAAAAGAATAACCTGGCTAGAGCGGATCATCTTGAACAATGCTGGGACCCACTGGGTTTTGAAAAGCTGCCAGGGGTGTTACAGATTACTGACAGCTCTTGTACTTTCCAGGTCAAATGCAAATTCCTAATTCCATCAGCAGCTTCCTTCCCAGGCCAAACATTTAAGAACTGTTTGTGGTTGTTTATGGGTAATTAACCACTGCATATGAAATGGTTCTTCCACTAAAATGGGCAAGTGCCAGGTGGAGAGAAGACAGGCAGGAGGGGAGGCCCGTATCATATCCCTTCATTCCCACTTCTGGTTCCTTTCATCTGATATGAGGGACTTGTTAGGACAGAGGGTCCCAGTGGGATACACCACAGGCTCTGGGCTGCTATACTGATCAGTTCAACTCCAATGAATGGCAGATGTTTCATCTACATGACACTGGTATTCAGTGTGATTTCACAAGAGCTAGTGGGGTCACAAGCCACCCTTCACCTCTATTTCAGGCAAGAGTCCAGAGGAGATCCAGTTGTGGCATAGCTCCAACAAGTTCTGGAATAGTTCAGTGGTTTATCCACAAGGCAAATCAGAGCAGAAGAGTTATTTTTTAACTCAAAGATACCTTATTTTTCTACCACAGCTCTCATTATATATTTAAAAGTTAAAGGAGTCTACTGAGGAATGAATGAATATGCAAAATATGATATATCCACTCCAATGGAAAGCTACTCAGCCTTACCAAGGAAGAAAGTTCTGACACATGCTTCAACATGGATAAACCTTGAAGGAATACTAAACTGAAATAAGCCACTCACAAAAGGACAAATACTGTATTAGTCCACTTATATGAGGTTCCTGGAATCACCAGATTCACAGGAAGTATATGGGTGGTTGCTAGGGGGTGGGGAAAGGAATATATGGAATTATTGTTAATTCCCCAGTTTCAGCTTTGCAAGATGGAAAGAGTTCTGGAGATGGATGATGGTGATGGTAGCACACATTTTAAAAAAAGGCATGTACCTACTACCACTAAACTGCACACTTAAAAGTGGTTAAGATGGTAACCAAGGAGGTGAAAGACCTCTACAAGAAAAACAACAAAACACTGCTGAAAGAAATCATAGATGACACAGACAAATGGAAGCACATCCCATACTCACGGATGGGTAGAATTAACATTGTGAAAATGACCATACTGCCAAAAGCAATCTACAAATTCAATGTAATTACTATCAAAATACCAACATATTTCTTCACAGAACTAGAAAACAAATCCTAAAATTCATACAGAACAAAAAAAGAGCCCACATCACCAAGGCAAGACTAGGGGGAAAAACCCTCAAATCTGAAGACATTACATTACTCGACTTCAAACTGTACTGTAAGGCCATAGTCCCCAAAACAGCATGGTACTGGTATAAAAACAGGCATGGAACAGCACAGGGACCCAGAAATAAAGCCAAAAACTGACAGTCAACTGATCTTTCACAAAGCAAGAACAGAAAGAGGGGAAAGGACGCCCTATTCAATAAATGGGGCTGGGATAATAGGCAAGGTGCATGTAGAAGAATGAAACTTGATCCTCATCTCTCTCCCTATACAAAATCAACTCAAGATGATCAAAGACTTAAATCTAAGACCCGAAACCATAAAAACTCTAGAAAGTAACATTGGATGGAAAAACCCTTTTAGACATTGGCTTAGCCAAAGACTTCATGACCAAGAACCCAAAAGCAAACACAATGAAAACAAAGATAAATAGAAGGGACTTAAACTAAAAAATTTCTGCACAGCAAAAGAAATAATCAGCAGAGTAAACAGACAACCCACAGAGTGGGAGAACATCTTCACAATCTATACATCTGACAAAGGACTAATATCCAGAATCTACAAGGAACTCAAAGGAGCAAGAAAAAAACAAACAATCCATCAAAAAGTGGGCTAAGGACATGAGAAAACAGTTCTCAAAAGAAGATATACAAATGGACAACAAACCTGAAGAAACGCTCCACATCACTAATTATCAGGGAAATGCAAATCAAACCACAATCGGACACAACCTTATTCCTGCAAGAATGGCAATAACTAAAAAATAAAAAATAAATACTAGTATGGAAGTGGTATAAAGGGAATTTTTTTTTTTTTTTTTTGAGACAGAGTCTCACTCTATCCAGGCTGGAGTACAGTGGCACAATCTCAGCTCACTGTGACCTCCACCTCCTAGGTTCAAGCAATTCTCCTGCCTCAGTCTCCTGAGAAGCTGAGACTACAGGCAAGTGCCACCACACCCAGCTAATTTTTCTATTTTTTAGTAGAGATGGGGTTTCACCATGTTGGCCAGGATGGTATCAATCTCTTGACCTCGGCCTCCCAAAGTGCTGGGATTACAGGCGTAAGCCACTGCACCCGGCCTAAAGGGACTGTTTTTACACTGCTGGTGGGAATGTAAACTAGTACAACTACTACAGAAAACAGTATAGATATTCCTTAAAGAACTAAAAGTAGATCTACCATTTGGGCCAGGCACAGTGGCTCATGCCCATAATCCCAGCATTTTGGGAAGACAAGGCAGGTAGATCACCTGAGGTCAGGAGTTTGAGACCAGCCTGGCCAACATTGTGAAACTTTGTCTCTACTAAAAATACAAAAATTAGCCGGACATGGTGGTGCACACCCGTAGTCCCAGCTATGCAGGAAGCTAAGGCAGGAGAATTGCTTGAATCCAGGAGGCAAAGGTTGCAGTGAGCTGAGATCATGCCACTGTACTACCACTATTGGGTATCTACTCAGAGGAAAAGAAGTAGTTATATGTAAAAGACACTTGCACTTGAGTGTTTATAGTGGCAGAATTTGCAATTGCAAAAATATGGACCCAGCCCACATGCCCAGTCAACAAATGGATAAAGAAAATGTGGTATGTATATACCATGAAATACTATTCCGACATAAAAAGGAACAAAATAATGGCATTTGCAGCAACCTGGACAGACTTGGAGACCATTATTTTAAGTGAAGTAACTCAGGAATGAAAAACCAAACATTGTTCGTTCTCACTCATAAGTGGGAGCTAAGCTATGAGGATGCAAAGGCATAAAAATGATACAGTGGACTTTGGGGACTTGGAGGAAAGGATAGGAAGGGGGTGAGAGACACATACTACACATTGGGTACAGTGTACATTGCTTGAGTGATGGGTGCACCAAAATCTCAGAAATCATCACTGAAGAACTTATTCATATAACCCAACACCACTTGCTCCCCAAAAACTGATTGAAAAATTTTAAAAAGTGGTTGAGATGATAAATATGTATATTTTTCCCACTGTTAAAAGGGTGGGGGAAAGGTAAAGACGACAAGCTGGGAGATGAGAGAAGGGAAAATCCTTGCAACTCTAGCTAGCTCATCACTTAGACCAATGCCAAAATCTGAAATCAGAAAGGACTTCTGAGAAAAACAGCCATGAGGACATGACTGCTAACCTTCCCAGTTTCTCAGGCCAATGTCAGAGTCTCATTTCCATCAGCGTCCTGCTTGGGCTTCAGTGTTTGAAACTGTTTTGGAGGATCTGTTTCTGGCTGACAGTACACAAGAGGGCTCCCTGGGGAACCAAACTCTGGCTGCTCTAGGGCAGCCCCAGGAGGCAGCTGGCGGGCACTTTAGTTACCTGGATGGGTAGCCAGCTGCACTGATTCGAATCGTCTCCAACACCCCGCAGGCTCTGAGTTGCTGTACTGCTCTCTTCGGGTCAAAGCTGCCGAAAAGAAAACAAGACAAGGGATGAGCGGCCATGTCTGCAAAAAAGAAACAAAAAAGAATCTTTTCCTGTGGCACATGAAGTAGCTGCTATCACTGACTTACAACTCATCAAGCACCTTTAAGCTCAAGGTCAGGGGTCAGGCATAGACTAAAAGACACCAATGGGCAGGTACCTGAGCCATCTCAACATCTTCTGTTCTGTGCCTCAGGCTTTTGCGCACATTCTTATTATCACCTGGGATACCCTTCTTTTTTGCCTCCTGAATTGTTCCCACCCTCCAAGACTCATCATTCCTGCTCCTCTCCAACACCTCCTCTTACTATTTTTATCCACATGGGCAGGCATCTTCACTCACTGTCCAAAGTGTATAAGCTTAGCACCATTATTTGGCTCAAACATTAAAAGAATGAGTTTTAGGCTAGGCAGATCTGGGTTTGAATCATGATATGGTCACTTACCAGCTGGGTGTCTACTTTGGGGCAAGTCACTTCATGTCCCTTTGGGCCTCAGCACCCTTATCTATATAATGGGGAAAATGGCAGTACCTATTTTATCAGGTTAGCGTGAAGCTGAAATGTAATGGTCCCCAAAAGCAGGTGGAACCCTGCCTGGCACTGCATAGGGCACACACGTTGTGCATGTTGTTAGCTGTGATCACAACAGCTGTTAAGTTAACAATCATGTAGATGAACTTCATTTACATTATTACAGATTATTTCCCAGTCTTCAGAGATGTGTGCACCATTTTCAACCACAGGCATGTGCTACAAAGGTAAGCCTAGCACTGAAAACCCAGTATTTCTTTCAAACATATATTCAATGTGGCACTGTAGAATAAAACACCAGACAGCGTGTGAGCTGAGTATCCCCGCCTGAAGAGGAAAGTTTATACAAAACAGTACATAACAAACATGGTGAAAATGCCGAAAGAAGACAGAGAGCAACTGTCTGAGGTTATTCAACATAAATTATGAAAACTAAAAAGAAAAAAAAGAAGCCAGAGGGTAAGACCTCATCGTTATCTAGGGTAATTAGGGGAGTCTTCATACAGATTAATTCTAGCTAAGCTAGAATAGATTAATTAATAGGTTAAGTCTAGCTAAGCTAGAATTAATTACTATTTTTAATTTGCTAAGACTACTGCCCCACTCCGTGAGAAGGGATGAGGAACAAATTCTCCTTTTCCTTCTGACTGTCCTGCAGCCCAGCTGCAGCCAAGAGCCATGCTTTTTTTCCTCCTTTCACTCTATGACATGGTCCTTGATGGATGCTGCCCTGGGGTCGCCTGGGCTCAGTGAGCACTTGGCACTTGGGCATTTTCCAAGCAACTGATGACTGCAAGCTGCCACCTCACCCCAGGCAACACTCTGCATTGTACATCAGCCCCAGAGGCACATCTCTTGTCCCATGAGATGCCCACACTCTCCTCCAGGCTGTGCTTACTGTGGCTCTGTTGCTCCTCTCTGCCCTCCTGAGCCCCACCTTCTTTCCACACCCAGCTCCTCCATAAAATCTTCCGATTACTCCAGCCCCAAAAGCCCATGGCACTGAGCATATGAGGCACAATGGAGCATTGATTTACACAGTTCTGAACAAAACAGTCCCTTCAGAAGACTTTGTTTTTTGGAGATGGCGTCTTGCTCTGTCATCCAGGCTGGAGTGCAATGGCATGATCTCGTCTCACCGCAAACTTCGCCTCCTGGGTTCAAGCAAATTTCCTGTCTCAGCCTCCTGAGTAGCTGGGATTATAGGCAGGCGCCACCACACCCAGCTAATTTTTGTATTTTTAGTAGAGACCGGATTTCACATGTTGGTCAGACTGGATTCCTGACCTCGTGATCCGCCCACCTCGGCCTCCCAAAGTGCTGGGATTACAGGCATGAGCTCCACCCCTTTCATCTTTTTAACGAGAGAAAAAGTCCTTTAGTGCAAGGGCCTTACAGCAGGGAAGAAGTGCTGAGTACCTGACTGCCTCCTGACCCTCTCACGCCAATGTCCCCTCTGTTGTGGCTATGCCACAAGAGGCAGCACAGTCCAAGGATCCAAGGGGGTCTTCATCACCAGGGAGGCTCTTACCAGAGTCATAAGCAGCTGCTGGGCTGCCCGTGACCACGAGTGATCAAAAGTCTTTGGGCTGCAGGCTCCCCTGGCTCACAGGCTCTCACTGCTAAAGCTGTCAGCCAGGCCCCGTGTCATAAAGGCAGAGTGGATACTCCTGTGCTTTGGAAAAGGCATCCTGTGGCCTGCACGTCACCTCCACAGGTGCTCTGTCCCTGCCCACAGCAGCCATGTTCCCCAGGCCAGCCACTGGCTTCTTTCCTCTGCTCAGCATGACCACAGGGTCAAATTCAGTCCATTGTACACACTGGGATGGCAGAGTGCTCAGGAGCCTCTGGGACCCATAGATCCCACATGGGCTATGGGACCAGCTGGGGGTCCCTCCTTCTTCCAGGACCTCCTACTATTTCCTCATGAAATATATATTTTTAATATATTTTATCGCACCTCAGGTTCTGGGATATATGTGCAAAATATGTAGGATTGTTACATAGGTACATACATGGCAATGTGGTTTGCTGCCTCCATCACCCCATCACCTATATCTGGCATTCTCCCCTCTCCTCAACCTCTCTACCCCCCACTGTCCCTCCCCTAATCCCCCCAACAGAGCCCAGTGTGTGATGCTCTTCTCTCTGTGTCCATGTGTTCTCATTGTTCAACACCTGCCTATGAGTGAGAACATGCAGTGTTTGTTTTTCTGTTCTTGTGTCAGTTTGCCAAGAATGATGGTTTCCAGATTCATCCATGTCCCTACAAAGGACATGAACTCATAGTTTTTTATGGCTGCAGAGTATTCCATGGTGTATATGTCCCACATTTTCCTTGTCCAGTCTATCATCGATGGGCATTTGGATTGGTTCCAAGTCTTTGCTATTGTAAACAGTGCTGCAATGAACATACCTGTGCATGTGTCTTTATAATAAAACAATTTATAATCCGTTGGATATATACCCAGTAAGGGGATTGCTGGGTTAAATGCAATTTCTATTTCTAGGTCCTTGAGGAATCACCACACTGTCTTCCACAATGGTTGAACTAATTTACACTCCACCAACAGTGTAAAAGTGTTCCTATTTCTCCACATCCTCTCCAGCATTTGTTGTCTCCAGATTTTTTAATGATCGCCATTCTAACTGGTGTGAGATGGTATCTCAATGTAGTTTTGATTTGCATTTCTCTAATGACCACTGATGATGAGCATTTTTTCATGTTTCTTGGCTTCATTTATGTCTTCTTTTGAAAAGTGTCTGTTCATGTTCTTTGCCCACTTTTAAATGGGTTCGTTTGTTTTATTCTTGTAAATAAAAATCATTGGTTCACTCTAATGATTGTTTCTTTTGCTGTACAGAAGCTCTGGAGTTTAATTAGATCCCGTTTGTCTATTTTGGCTTTTGTTGCTAGTGCTTATGGTGTTTTAGTCATGAAGTCCTTGCCTATGCCTATGGCCTGGATGGTTTTGCATAGGTTTTCTTCTAGAGTTTTTATGGTGTTAGGTTTTATGTTTAAGTCTTTAATCCATCTGGAGTTAATTTTAGTGTAAGGTGTCAGGAAGGGGTCCAGTTTGTTTTCTGCACATGGCTAGCCAATTTTCCCAACACCATTTATTAAACAGGGAATCCTTTCCCCATTGCTTGTTTTTGTCAGGTTTGCCAAAGATCAGATGGTTGTAGATGTGTGGCATTGCCTCTGAGGCCTCTGTTTTGTTCCATTGGTCTAGATCTCTATTTTGGTATCAGTACTATGCTGTTTTGATTACTGTAGCCTTGTAGTATAGTTTGAAGTCAGGTTGTGTGATGCCTCCAGCTTTGTTCTTTTTGCTAAGAACTGTCTTGGCTATGCGGGCTCTCTTTTGATTCCATATGAAATTTAAGGTGGTTTTTTCCACTTCTGTGAAGAGGGTCATAGATAGCTTGATTGAGGTAGCATTTAATCTATAAGTTACTCTGGGCATTATGATCATTTTGACGATATTGATTCTTCCTAACCATGAGCATGGAATGTTTTTCCATTTGTTTTGTGTCCTCTCTTATTTCATTGAGCAGTGGTTTGTAGTTCTCCTTGAAGAGGTCCTTTACATCCTTTGTTAGTTGTATTCCTAGGTATTTTATTCTCTTTGTGGTAATTCTGAATGGCAGTTCATTCTTAATTTGGCTCTCTTTAAGTCTGTTGTTGGTGTATAGGAATGCTTGTGATTTTCGCACTTATCCTGAGACCCTGCTGAAGTTATCAGTTTTAGGAGATTTTGGGCTGTGACAATGGGGTCTTCTAAATATACAATCATGTCATCTGCAAATAGAGACAAATTGGCTTCCTCCTTTCCTATTTGAATACCCTTTATTTCTTTTTCTTGCCTGATTGCTATGACTAGAACTTCCAATACTATATTGAGCAGGAGTGGTGAGAGAGGGTATCCTTGTCTAGTGCCAGATTTCAAAGGGAATGCTTCCAGGTTTTGCCCATTCAGTATGATATTGGCTGTCGGTTTGTCGTAAATAGCTTTTATTATTTTGAGATACGTTCTGTTTATACCTAGTTTATTGAGAGTTTGTAGCATAAAGTGCTGTTGAATTTTGTCGAAGGCCTTCTCTGCATCTATTGAGACAATCATGTGGTTTTTGTTTTTGGTTCTGTTCATGTTGTGGATTATATTTACAGACTTGGCGTATGTTGTACCAACCTTGCAACCCTGGGATGAAGTCTACTTGATCATGATGGATAAGCTTTTTGATGTGCTGTTGCAATTGGTTTGCCAGTATTGTTTTTGAAGATTTTTGCATCTATGTTGATCATGGTTATTGGCCTGACGTTCTTTTCGTGTTGAGACTCTGCCAGGTTCTGGTATCAGGATGATGTTGGTCTCATAAAACGATTTGGGAAGGATTCCCTCTTTTTGTATTGTTTGGAATAGTTTCAGAAGCAGTGGTACCAGCTCC